ACTAGAGGAGTGAAGCTGCCTTGATCAACCTTCTGAATTCTCTCCCCGTATGCCCTTATCTTGTCGTTCTCGTTCCTCCTGTGTGCAGCAGCAAGAGCTAAGTTACGGTGACATGCGGCCATGAGTTAAAATATCCTGATGTCAAGAAGGCTCGCTGTCCCCGCGTCCAGAATCCTCGAGCACTGACGTCAACACGGGCTTCGTTGGATGTGTTTGAAGTCCTATGTTGGAAATTCTCACCGTCCAATGGAAGGAGGGTCGGTTCTACCCTGACATCACGACAGATTTCCTTCAACATATTTGCTGTGAGATCCCTTACTTCGTCATGCCTCATGCACATGAAGCCCCCCTTTCTTGCACACCATGGCGTGATCGACGTCATAGGAAGAGCCACACACGCATTGGGAGGGCAAACCTTCTACTGGCCAACCATACCTTAGAGCATTGACATCTGTAAATTCTTGTTTATTGAGACTGAAACCATTTGCCCTTACCGGTAACGCAGTTAACCAGTTCGAGGCGCCCACCTACTGCGCTAAAGCTACTTTTTTTTTTCAAATTCTCTGGTACTTGCAACAACAGTTGCTGCAACTTATCACTTTGGCTGTGCTGTCGTTCTGTCGTAATGGACCTTCGAAACTTGTTTACTTCACTGGCATCCACCTCCCCTGTTGCGTTCTGAGCTACTACTACTACTACTACTACTACTACTACTACTACTACTACTTATATACGTGGCCTCCAGCCTCCCCCAATAGCCACACCTTCGCCACCATTTATTTACCTTAATATTAAATATCCTAATACATAAGCAACTATCCTATCTGTGTTAAATTAGTTGAGCCGCAGATCGATGCGGCATTCGGTGACTGTAGCCTCATAGTCGATATCTGCAGCAGTTGACGGAGTAGGGGCAGAAGCTCTCGTTCCCCTGAGGCAGAGCAAAGCCGACCGAAGGAGAGAGAAGGACAGTCGACATCTCATCCAGGCTGTGACATAACTTCTGGGCTGCTGCTTCTGTTCGGAGATCAGCTCCGCGAGTCTGGCGCAGAAACATCTTGCGCTTGGGCCCATCCCACCAGAGGTTGTGAACACTAGCGGAGTGAAGCTGCCTTGATCGACATTTTGAATTCTCTCCCCATATGCCCTTCTCTTGTCGTTCTCGTTCCTCCTATGTGCAGCATCGAGAGCTAGGTTACGGTGACAAACGGCCATGGGATCAAAAATCCTGATGTCGAAGAAGGCTCGCTGTCCCGGCGTCCAGAATCCTCGAGCACTGACGTCCACACGGGCTTCGTTAGATGTGTTTGAAGTCCTGTGTTGGAGGATCTCGCCATCAAGTGGAAGGAGGGTCGGTTCTACCATGACATCCCGGCAGGTTTCCTTCAACATATTTGCTGTGAGATCCCTTACCTCGTCATGCCTCATGCATATGAAGCCCCCCTTCTTGCAAACCATGGCGTGATCGCCATCATAGGAATAGCCATTGGGAGGGCACTACTACTACTACTACTACTACTACTACTACTACTACTACTGTCTCCCCATCACCAACCATACGTCCCTCCTCCTCCTCATCACACCCCTGTACCATCATAACAAATATTTTTTCTTATTTTTTGTTTTCTCTTGTTTATTGTTGTTTATGTTGTCGAGGTCTCTTGTTTACATATTGTTCCTGTTTATATTTATGCTTCTAAGTTGTTGTTTGTTGACATTTCCAACTTAATTTATTTTACTGTTTTTTTTAAATTTTTAATGTTTTCGAGGAGTAATTTTTTATTTATTTATTTAATGAATTTTTATGCAACAAATAATTAAACTATTTTTGTATTTTGTAATTTTAAAGTATATATTTTTACGTAAGAAAGTTTGTAATAGTTTTATATATTAATAGTATTGATAAAACACACATGAACTATTTTGTCTGAATAATTTTTTTATCATTTTCTTTTGTAATTCGTATTTTTTTTATAATAAATTTTTACTCGTGACAAATTTTCCCGGGTAATTATTTATTTTATTTTCTTGTGATGATTTAACCCCTTGAGTACGATAATTTAACCCCTTGAGTACGATAATTTAACCCCTTGAGTACGTTGATTTAACCCCCTAAGTGCGAAGAATAATTTCCTTGAGTACGATAACAACCCTTTGTGTACTATAACATAACACCTTAAGTACATTAACTTTACCCCTTGAGTACGATAATTTAACCCCTTGAGTACGATAATTTAACCCCTTGAGTACAATGACTTAACCCCTTGAGTACATTCATTCAAACATTTAAATACTAATACCATTCATTATAATATTGTACTCAGGGAATTTAAGTCATTGTACTCGAGGTGGTTAACGTTTATCTATATACAAGGAGAAGTGTGAACGCCAGACGCAGAGGATCGCTTGTACTGCCGATAGTCCTTCTGATGCACATGAGAACGATGTTAAGTGTAAACGGACGCTAATGTTTGGTCAGTGACAGAAAATGGACGATGGTCGCCAGGGAACTACTGTAGGAGAGTTAATTTTTTATTTTATTTTTTTAAGCGTGGAACAGCGTTGTTAAGTGAGCAGTAGTTGTAATGGCGTTGAAGAGTTAGTGGTTTAAGTTAAGTTAATTAGCGTTGAAAGATCAATTAGCTGTTTACAAATTTACCAGCGTTGAGAGAACAGCCCTGGCGTGCATCCTGTACAAGACGAAGCACAGAAGAGTTTACAGCAGCGTTCATGCTTGCCTGCCTGACTCATGTATTAAGGGCGTAAGTACCTGAAGTGTGTGTGGGGGGGGAGGGGGGGGTGTTGGCAGTACAATCTGTTTATGGCAAGGTGTAGCAAGTCCCCCCCTCTATGTCAGGTGCCAGAGAGGACCCGTCTGGAGGAGGAGAGGGAGGAAGGGGCAGCGGCTGGGGACTGTGTTGGGATGTGAGAATCGTGGGGCTGTGTCATTGGCCAGTCAAGGGGTTAAATCATCATATTCAAGGGGTTAAATCATCGTACTGAGGGGTTAAATCATCGTATTCAATTGGTTAAATCATCCTACTCAAGGGTTAAATCATCGTATTCAAGGGGTTAAATCATCCTACTCAAGGGTTAAATCATCATACTGAAGGTGTTAAATCATCGTACTGAAGGTGTTAAATCATCGTACTCAAAGGGGCTACAAACATCTTTACATAATAAACAATATATTCTTTATAGTATAGTCTCTATCTGCTATTGACGCCATTAACAACAGTTATTGTGTGAGAAATAAAAATCTATATACCAATTTGACGCCTTTTTCACTTCACAGTAAACTAATATAACCCAACAACTTTTAAATTAATTTGTATCCCAATATGATTTATTTTACTATTTTCATTACAGATTCTCATTTTTTGGGGTGAATTGATCTGGTTCCCCTCCTATACTGACTTAACGATGGATGTTTTGCGGGTTAACTATAGGAATATGGTTAGTTCTAAAATTTTGTTGTTATTAGATTATAGCCTCCGGTTGTAAGGAAATAATATCGTTTTATGTTGTGGTGTTGTCGAAAATAAATAAGTGATTTTTTTTATGTATTTATGGGGATTATTTCGTATGTGTGGTCATTAAACACAATCTTCACTACACAGCTGGACAGGTTGATTAATGAAGAAATATATTTAGGCAGATAATGTGTTATGAGTACAGACACCACGCTAGTTTGTTATGCTTTTAAACCTGTAAAACGAGCCTAAACCTAACCTGGGATATATTTTGGTTACTGGGTTAGTTTTAGGGGTTAGTTAAGGTTAAGTTAAGGTTAATTTAGGTTAGGTTAGGTTTGTGCCGATGATCTACATGGCTAATACAAATCCCGTGTTTACTAATATACAGCCTCCAGTGTGAGATGTTTCGCTGCCATATTATTTAAATCACTAAATTATTTCTAGTGTTTGATTAATTTTGTCAAGTTACCCGATTAAATAGAGAATTAAATAGTCGTATTTTAAGATTTAATAGAGTAATAATAGTCTTCAAGCTTATTATATTAACTAATTATTGTATAGGTTAGGTTAGGATAGGTTAGGTTAGGTTGCGTTAGGTTAGGTTGCGTTAGGTGTACCTCTTGTGTGTGTGTGCGTGTACTGTAAGCCAGGACACCATATAGTTGTTGAAGTACAGTGATACAGTATTACGGGCGCTGTGGTGTTGTAGGAACAGAAGGTAAATTGTTCTTGACTGGTGTTAACTAGAGGTCTGTGTTGTCGCTGGGAGGTATTTTAAGTGCCAATGAATTATATGAATATGTTTTATAAGTAGTTATTTTTTTATTGTAAGTAAAATAACTAAAGTTTAAATATTATAAAAAAAAAAAATCTGGGAATTTTTTTACCCACCGATGATAGATATATTTTTAATGCAGTATTTTTTTGGTTATGTGGGAAAACACTAACGTTGTGTTGTGTTGTGTTTGGTTTTCCTCAACACAAACAACAGTGTTCGTATAGTATAAGCGGCATCATGACGGTTTTGTTTTCTTCAGATTAAATTCTATAATAAACTCGTAATTCATCCTGGCAGTAGTTCGTGTAGTTATTATACCTCGGGGGCTTTGTGTATGGTTAAGTTAGGTTGTTTTGAGGTGGTGGAGGGGGCGCTGGTCAAGAGTCCCTAGGGAGTGTTGAGGTGAGGTGGGGCAGCGGAGGTGTGGTGGGGCAGCGGAGGTGTGGTGGGGCAGCGGAGGTGTGGTCCCTGCTGCTCTAAGAGGTGAGGTTATGAGAGTGACACATGTTTATAATAACAAGTCGGACCTGAGTTATGGTAACGGGAGCATTTGTTGTGAGGGTGGCGGAGTCTTCCCCTCATTAGCCTAACGTTCTGGATCTGATATCTAACTCTAATTTCCTGTTCCTATACCTCACCAGTGCCTCCCGCTGTGTTGTGACGGGAGCGTTTGTTGACTCGGTACTCGGTAAACATGTACGCTCGGTAAACATAAACAGTACGACACAGGTGGTGAGGGCACTTACCGGTATTATAGGTGGCCGCCCCAGGCACCCTCCATGCGCCACACGTTGAAGGCGTAGCTGAGGCGCTCGTGGGCGACGTAGGTGCAGGAGGAGGAGAGCCGCTGGTCGTGCACGTCGGTGTCCAACACCTGGTACAGGAAGTCTATGTAGCGGATGGCAAGTTTTAGCGTCTGGATCTTGGAGAGTTTGTCTGAGGGCAGCGTCGGTATGATCTTCCTGAGGGAGGTGAAGGCCTCGTTCAGGCTTTGTGTCCTCTGTCGCTCCCTCACGTTGGCCAACACCCTTGCCTGTTGAAGTTCTTCGTAGCTCTGGGGAGACTTCTTCCTGGCCTTGGCCAGCCGTGCCTCCTCGCTCTCCTCCTCCAGGCGTCTCTTGCGGCCCCTTGGCTCGTCCTCCCCAGATGTGGTGTAAGACTCGTGGCCGCCACACGAGCTTCGCGGACTCATGTCGGCCATGAGGGAGGAGAAGGCAGAGGTGGCGACGGGAGGAGTGGTGAACGAGGAGACCTCGGAGGTGTGGTGCAGGGGCAGAGTGTAGGGGGGCGGGGAGTACTCACACTTGACCGCCACCATGTGCCCTGGCATCACTTGTGACCCGCGTTGCACCATCACGAGTGCCACTTGTCACTAACCATACAACACTACACACCACTATGATCACCACCACCAGTATCGCTCGCCAGTTGTGGTCACTATCCCTACAGCACAATGTTTGGCACCCAACACCGCAACCTGACCTGACTTGACCGCTGAGGTGAGGAGGCAGACAGGGCAGGGTGGGCAGCGGACTAGCACTAGCAGTAGCGACCAGGCGGGGCGGTGTGGTGTGGTGTCACCAGACTGTGTGGCACCCTGGCACTGTCAACAGTTGCCACTAACCCACACCACTACACCACCACACCACCTCTAACTACACCTGCTCCCTTAACCACACCTCTTAAATATATACATTAACCACACAATTAAACATTAACATAACAACATAGCCATTGAATAAAAAGAAGCTTCATATCGCGTTCATTCATGCAAATCTGTGTAATATGGGTGGGCAGAGGGGCACGCACTCCACCAATAGGTGCTCAGAGATGGCCAGGCCCCGCCCTCAGGAGCCTGGGTGACCAATGAGCGCGGGGGCTTTAGTGATGCCCGGCCCTGGCTGCCACTCAGAGCGCGCGGTAATGAATGGCAGCCTGACGCAGTAAAAGGGACCAGCCTTGTTATTTATAGTGAGGACTGTGAGGGTCAGGCGATGGTAGAGTGAGACTAATGCCAGTCTTAATAAATATACCCGCGTAATGATCCTTATTTTCCAGCGTTTTTTCCCCTAGTCATTATCGTATTTCCCCGTGTAATCGTCTTATTTCCCTTGTAATTGTCTTATTTTCTCGCGTAATATTTTTGTTCCTACATAATTCATTTAATTTCCCCGCAATTGTTTTATTTTCCCGCGTAATTCTACTTATTTTCCCGCGAAAATTATTTTTCCCGCGTAATTGTTAAATTTTTCGCGTAATCCTTGCACCCTGACCCACAACATGTACTATACAGTCGGCCACAGGAACACGTATACACACTGTAGCGCTAAGGTCCGAAAATGGTCTGGTAACGTTGAAACTGCGTATCCAGACGCATGATGAAACTCAGCTCCCCTCTAACTATTTAAGGTTTCCCCTTTTTTATTCTTCTATTTACTCCTCTTCCTTTCTTTACTAATCCAAACATCAGCAAAAAAAAAAGTAGGGTAAGAGAAAAAGTGGGAGGAGGAGGAGGAGGAGGAGGGAGCTGTACGATAGCTGCAATCCCATTCGACAACAAATTTACTACCATTGGACACAATATATTACTTGTAACATAAACACTGGTAAAACATTCACAACAAATGTATTTATAACATATATGTAGGAATAAAACATAAATTACAGGTCATTTGGTAATTTTGTCTGACTTATTCTTGTGGCCGACTGTATTTACTAGCACACGTTGAAAACTGTGGGGGACTGTTATTAAAAATTATTATTATTATTATTACTATTATTATTATTATTATTATTATTATTATTATTATTATTATTATTATTATTATTATTATTATTATTATTATTATTACAAAATTTTCGGCCTCAATAGACAGTGTGTCAGTTAGTGGTGACATATGATAATGATACTACTACTACTATTACTACTACTTTTTTTTTTTTTTAACGTGGCCTCCAGCCTCCCCCAATAGCCACACCTTCGCCATCATTTAATTACCTTAATATTAAATATCCTAATATATAAGTAGCTATCCTATCTGTGTTAAATTAGTTGAGCCGCAGATCGATGCGGCATTCAGTGACTGTAGCCTCATAGTCAATATCTGCAGCAGTTGTCGGAGTAGGGGCAGAAGCTCTCGTTCCCCTGAGGCAGAGCAAAGCCGACCGAAGGAGAGAGAAGGACAGTCGACATCTCATCCAGGCTGTAACATAACTTCTGGGCTGCTGCTTCTGTTCGAGATCAACTCCGCGAGTCTGGCGTAGAAACATCTTGCACTTGGGCCCATCCCACCAGAGGTTGTGAACACTAGAGGAGTGAAGCTGCCTTGATCAACATTTTGAATTCTCTCCCCATATGCCCTTCTCTTGTCGTTCTCGTTCCTCCTATGCGCAGCATCGAGAGCTAGGTTACGGTGACAAACGGCCATGGGATCAAAAATCCTGATGTCGAAGAAAGCTCGCTGTCCCCGCGTCCAGAATCCTCGAGCACTGACGTCCACACGGGCTTCGTTAGATGTGTTTGAAGTCCTGTGTTGGAAGATCTCGCCATCCAGTGGAAGGAGGGTCGGTTCTACCATGACGTCCCGGCAGATTTCCTTCAACATATTTGGTGTGAGATCCCTTACCTCGTCATGCCTCATGCATATGAAGCCCCCCTTCTTGCAGACCATGGCGTGATCGCCATCATAGGAAGAGCCACACACGCATTGGGAGGGCAAACCATCTACTGGCCAACCGTACCTTAGAGCAATGGCATCTGTAAATTCTTGTTTGTTAAGGCTGAAACCATTTGCCCTTATCGGTAACGTAGTTAACCAGTTCGAGGCGCCCACCTCCTGCGCTATAGCTACTTTTTTTGTCAAATTTTCTGGAGCCTGCAGCAATAGTTGCTGCAACATGTCATTTTGGCAGTGCTGCCGATCTGTTGTAATGGACCTACGGATCTTATTTACTTCGCTGGTGTCCACTTCCCCTGTTGCATTCTGGGCTATTATGTGGTCAGTGAGGGCTGCCGTGAGCTTAAGTGAATTTTGATGTTCAGAGTCAGCAATCTCCTCTGGATTAGTTAGTCCCATCCCTCCCAGTCTTGGTGGAAGTGCAAGAAGTGTTCTTTCTGCTAGGGTTAAGTCAGGGTGTTTCACTAGTTTGGGAATGAACTTGACACTGATTGCTTCTTCCAAAGGGTGGAGGAGGGGTCCGATCTCAGGGATGGTACGCATCAGGTAGTTCCAACGATGCTTGACTCCATGGGTGAATGCTGCAAAGGCCGCATGTGGCTCTGTGTTAGCTTAACGGTACTGCCCTCTCTAATGTTACCCACTTTCGGTATCTCGGCTCCCACCTGCCCACCACCGCGGACATTTTTTTTTTCGATGAAGAGTTTCAGCATCGGATCAGATGTGCATCTCAAGCCTTTGGCAGACTCCGTACCCGTGTCTTCAGCTGTAGGGAGCTGAAATTATCTACAAACTTGCACGTATATCGAGCAGTGGTCCTGCCCACCCTGCTATATGGCAGCGAGACATGGGTCACATACAGGAGGCACCTCAAGGCACATGAAAACTTTCACCAATGTAGTCTACGATCCATCCTCCGAGTTCGCTGGGAAGACACCAACTGTAGGAGCATCGAGGCTGCCATTATCCATGACAACTACGCTGGACTGGCCATGTTACCCGCATGGACGACAGTAGACTGCCAAAGCAGCTACTTTACAGTCACCTAACGAATAGTAAACGTAACGCTGGCGGGCAACTGAAAAGGTATAAGGATAGTCTTAAGACAAACCTGAAAAAGTGCCAAATGGACCCCCTCACCTGGGAGACGATCACTCCACACCGTAACGCTTGGAGGAGCACCACACGAGGTGTCAATACTTTCGAGTTAGCCCTACTGCTGCCGCCGCCCCTCCCGCACTAGATGTAGCCCCCTACATGTGCAACATCTGTGATCGACCCTGCCGGTCCCGTATCGGCCTCTTTAGTCACCTCAGAGCTCATCAATGAAAGTGACATCCTTAATAACTTACATCATTGTATCATAGCTGGATGATCGTCATACTAGATTCCGAGTGACAGCAAAGTAGTAGTAGTGTGTGTGTGTGTGTGTGTGTGTGTGTGTGTGTTGGACACGTAAGCAAGACTGACTCATCTCTATTGTAGGAAACACTTGCCAGACCTTCCTTCCTCTCCTCCCCACCACCAGGAGGGAAGATAGTTGCTCAGTAATTACTATCACAGTGGCAGGTGTACACGAGGCTACACTCACCTGTATGTGAGGCCATGAACCAGGTGTTGAAGTGTTATTATAATTTCTAGTGCAATTAGTACACTGCTCTCTCTCTCTTTCTCTCTCTCTCTCTCTCTCTCTCTCTCTCTCTCTCTCAATATAGCTGTACAAGAAAATATATTTTTATTGTGAAAATCAAGTGTAATGGTGCGGGAATATTGTGAAAATTGATAGTGTTTGTGTAAAGTGTGTGCTGACAGTGTGTATGATGTGAATAGAGTTGTGTATAGTGTCAGTATGTGTGGTTGATAGTGAAAGGTTGAGAGTTATTGTGTATGTGTATTTATTTATTGACACACACACACACACACACACACACACCACACAGAGAAAACAAACCTTTACTTTAAAATCACGAGCCATTGTCGAGCCTTAGTACAATTATACTGCCATATCTTAACTCTCACGTCACCACCAGGGGGAGGGAGAGACGGGAAGGGAGGTGAGTTGATAGTCATTTGTTTTTTAATAGATGCCAAGGAGAGGAGATGATAGTCATTTGTTTTTTAATAGATGCCAAGGAGAGGAGATGATAGTCATTTGTTTTTTAATAGATGCCAAGGAGAGGAGATGATAGTCATTTGTTTTTTAATAGATGCCAAGGAGAGGAGATGATAGTCATTTGTTTTTTAATAGATGCCAAGGAGAGGAGATGATAGTCATTTGTTTTTTAATAGATGCCAAGGAGAGGAGATGATAGTCATTTGTTTTTTAATAGATGCCAAGGAGAGGAGATGATAGTCATTTGTTTTTTAATAGATGCCAAGGAGAGGAGATGATAGTCATTTGTTTTTTAATAGATGCCAAGGAGAGGAGATGATAGTCATTTGTTTTAAGTGAGAGTTAAGAGTAAAGCTTTGTTTACTGTGACCTTGTGAAAGTATTCCACCTGACTCACTCATTTATAGACAGTGCAGGTGTGACTCATGCTCTCACCTGGGACACACACACACACACAACACACACACACACACACACTCTCTTTCTCTCTCGGGGAAGACTAGACGGTAAATGTAAACATTTAGTATATAGTGGTCAGGTAAAACTTACATACCTGTGTGTGTGTGTGTGTGTGTGTGTGTGTGTGTGTGTGTGTGTGTGTGTGTGTGTGTTTAAGCCTCCCAACCCTCGCATATACCTGCCTCAGTCTCAGTTCAGGTGACACCTGTGCCATAGAAATATTTCCCATACTTCTGCCTCACCTGCTGTGTGTGCGCGCGCGCGCGCGTGTGTGTGTGTGTGTGTGTGTGTGTGTGTTGCCAT